CAACCGGCATCGCGCCATTTTTTGAATCTACAAATTACACCACCACGTTGGTCATAGTAAAAAAACATTCCAAATGAAAACCGCAGCTCACAGTGTTCCGCCGTGCACTCAACTCAGAAGCTGGGCAACGAAACTATATTTCTAGTCTACAAATGGAGCAAAAATGCAACGGCCACAGTCTGGCAGAAGCAAAAATTTATGCCTCAGCTCACAACAGTGGCCGTGCCTAGCGTCCATTTGGACCTGAAGCATTATGTGAGGGTTAATAAACTGTCACCCCAGCAGTACCCTACTATTAGCTGGGGAAGGGACTTAGGACATTACATCCACCAGCAAGCGTCGCCCCAACTGCCTTCGTTAACGACTGTTCACCCAACAGCCATGCAGTCCTTTAGCACGAAGGAGACACCTTGAACTTGAGTTTCAGACTGCCGACTCCCTACAAGAAGATATATGTTTACTACTGGTGTCCCGTAGCCAAAATACCATCTCATTGTGTTACTAAAATTTAGCACTCATACTCAAACGCGCAGTAGTTATTTAAAAAAAAAAAAACACACACACATACATACATACATACATACCTGCTACCCGCTTGCTTGCTGGTTCAGCACACATGACTACATATTTTTACAATATATATATTTATAAAAATAAGTTTCGGAAGAGGGAGAGAGTGAGACAAGAAAAGTATGTATGTATGTAGGTATGTGTGTACGTGTCTATGTATGTAAGTATGCATTCACAGAAGAGTCCATGGTGGTCTATATATATATATATATATATATATATATATATATATATATATATATATATATATATATATATATATATATATATATACCAGTATGGGTTAAAGCTGACAAACTATAACAAATGAATCAGTTCAATTTCTTAGGATCCATTCTAAGTGACTAAATCTGCAAACCAGACAACATAGCAAACATTTCCCAAACACCAGTTCTAGCTAAACATCAGTAATTGAAAAAACTATCTTTTTTAAAGAATCTTAGTACAGAGATACAACACAAATGAGAAAGTTTGATGTATCATCACTCACCACACTGATAACTATGAATCTGTTTTAAAAACAAGGAAAAGACAAAATGCAATGGTAGGAACATAAAACAAGATGTGCAGAAGTCTCCAAAACTGAAAAGGAGAAAAGGCAGGCCAAGAGAGGCCTGGGTGCATATTTAGGCTCAGTCCTGACACATGCAAACATCATATCCATTGCATCCGACCGACAGAGGTTTGGCGTGCTGATCAACAACAACAACAAAAGTCATAAACAACGGGTGACCAAACAGCACTTGGTGTTATGGGACAACAAACGGTTACAATGTTGATAACTATTTAATTTTTTGGGAAATACATAATTAAAGCAACAATAACAAAAAAAACAATGTCTACAAAGAAGACACAGCTGGCTGTATGTTCACTACAGGATGTGGCAAACCAACAGTAGCATTTATTGGTTTTATGTCGTTTTACTGGGAAGTTTACATTCAGTACTTTGTCATTTACTGGTTCCATGCCCGAATGAGAAAGGAGCAGGGTTTGGCATGGAGGCCAACTCCCTCACCATGTTTGAAAACAAAATTATCTGCTACAGAAAGTTGCAGGAGAGAAACGTTGAGAGATCAAAGTTGCTAAACTGGATTCCATCTACGATATCGAAGTGATTGCATGGGATAGAAGTAGACTGCGAGCCCTATGTGACTTATAATTGCACAGCATGACAATGCATTAATAAAGTAATGAATGAATGAATGAATGAATGAATGAATGATGAATGAATGAATGAATGAATGAATGAATGAATGAAGTTTGTCATTGTTTTCTGAATCGCGTCATGCTATTACTGTAGAAGTCGACGCAAAGCAGCCTGATACCGCATAGCCTGCACAATTGCATTTGAATGTGATCTGTGTATTGTTTCCTTCGTAAGGATTCAATTGCATGCGTCATCTTGTTTAATTCTACCGCATACACCCAAGGAAACACAGCGAAAAATGTCGTGCAATATAAACTGTGCCGCCTCTGTTTTTGTTTTCTTTGTCTATCACAGTTGCAACACATTTACTGAATATGTTAGTGTTGACTTTCACCGAATGAAGAATATTCTATACAATCGAACTATGTCTACTGAGGTAAGAAATGGAACTTTTAAAAGCGTTATGAAACCAATCCTGAAAAACGAAAGTGAAACAAGAGCAGTCAGCCTAATAATCACAAACGTGTAAGTTACCGTGATATGGTTTGACCGAAGAAGTAAGAACACAGTGGATAGATACAAAGTGTTTTGATGACCACTTTAAATAAACTGGCTTACAAAAAAAAAAACGAGAAAAAAAAACTGATTACCCCCGTTAGAAGAGGTCAATCTACATTCTTTCTGAACGTCATAATAAGTGGAAATTCAAGTATAATTTGACTACGGAAATGTTATAGGGGAAGAGTAGAAGTTGAACAGTTTGACGGTGGGAGCACCCAAATAAATATGTAAAAAAAGGACTGGTAATTCATGACAGTAGGTTGTAAACATATATGACTATCAATTCTCTACTAGACAAAAAAAAAAGGGGCGGGGGGCAGAAAGAGCAGTGGAAAAAGAGAAAGAAGATGAAGATGATGATGCTCATGGTTGTGGTGGTGATTGATGATTATCATGATGACGGCGCACCAACTTACGTAAATATATTTGATTCCTGCGCCATGTTCGATTGATACATGCAGTTTGTAGCAGGGGTACCCCTCCCTGTCCAAAACTGTGCTCGTTAGCAGAACTCCTTCTTTATTAGCATTCATAGAGATGGTGAAAGCTCTACCATAGTTGCCTCCCCTAAATATAGTCACAGAACGAAAAGTTACCTCACTATGAGGTTTATTTGAAAACCAGGTGGGTTCAAACGATCTTTGCATGTGAATGAATCTGTGTAGTTGTTTATAACATTCTAAAACAAAGCAACATTACTGATTACTGATTTAACTCTATCAATACCAGACAACTCACCGAACGGGTGTTTTTTTTTTTTTAAATAATACGAAACTTTTCCTGTCATTTATCACAGACCGATGTTATGTTTATTCATCTTTTGTATCTTAATTCGTAGCGTAGATAATTAATTCCTATAATTTATCTGTTCAACTCAGTCAGATCTAAGGATTTACTGCTTTTAAGCTCAACGCCTTGACATTTAAGAGGTTTAAGTAACTAACTATTGCTTGGTACACAAATAACATTCGGAATAACACCGAAAGTACGCTTAAATGCTTTGTCTTAGCCAGGGTTATCATATTGGCATTTTTTATGCCAGATTCCACAAATTTGGCATATTTGAAATTGAACTGGCAAAAGATAATGAACTGGCATATTTTGGCATATTTGGGTTTTTCCTGGAAATGTAAACCTAGTTAACATCTTTATTTCAGTTTGACTTTGTTGTGATGTCCTGGTACGGACTAACGGAGATTCGCGCCATTTCTTATCGTATTTGTTGTCTTCCTAAACAGATCGTGACTTTGATAAACCAAGGCCCTCTGTAATTTATGTTAATCTACTAGAATAAATGCGGGATATAAAACCAAAACCAACTACCGATACCAAGTGATTCAGACTGTTAAGAACTACTTGAGGACAGAAAATAGAGAGGATATAGGCCTATTTCTATCCGTGATAGATTTTATTACTTTTTCCTATGGCCACGTCATCCAAAAAAAATGGAAAGCATCTTATGACATTGCAAGTATAATAGTAACTGGAAGAAAACATACTCACGGATCAAAAGATCTTCAGACGAATCAGAGGCAGCATATTGTAAACTGTGTCAGTGCACTTATGCACCAAGAATTATAGCATATCAAATCACGAAAAACAGGACGAAAACTCCGTCAAAAAGCCAGTCACAGCTTATTACAACAATAACTCCTAGGCAAAGTAATTATAAATTTAAAGGCAGCAGAGTTGCAACTTGCTGTAGGCACGACCTGCAATTGTGCAATACGCACAAATGATCATCTAAGTGAAATTATGAAATCGCGTGGTCAGGGGAGTACATTAGAGCACATACAATTGCATAGAACTAAATGTTCATGCCCTAATTAAAAAAAAAAAAAATTATGTCACCTGCACTGAAGGTTGACCTTATTTATGATTTTCGGAACAAGAAATATGCCATCATTATAGATGAGTTGCAAAGACTTCATCCCATCTAAGAAAATGCTTAAAGATTTTACATTCAAGAAAGTTTATGCTGTATCTTCCACTGATGACTGAAGAATTCTATCTAGATCTTTTGATGTGAAGGAAGTACAATGTTACCCTTTATTGACATTTTTTTCTGGCATATTTTGGGTAATGGTTTGGCATAAAATGAAGTTTTTATCTGGAAACCTGGTCTCAGCCTCCAGATGTAGCAAAGACTTGGATGTCGACTGCTCCAATGGCACACTGGTTGCATATACCTGATATTCCTCCTCTGGTGTGTCTTTTCTTGCCGGATCCACAATTCTAAATTAACACATCCTTACAAGTGTTATCTCATGTAATATCCTGGTATACCGGACATACCCATGGACTGTGTGTCTTCTGCAGCAAATGTACCCAGGTGTAGATGTTGACTACTCCAGTAGCAGCCTGGTTGTACACATATCACAAAACTCCCCATACGCTCTTTCTTGACGGATGCAAATTTAATTCCGAATTCACACAGCCTTACACACGTTCATCGTGTCTTCCATCGTCATTATTTCATAAATGGTCTTCGATACTGTTATATAGTGCTACCTTATAGTTTTCAAGCTAAAACAGAACGATTTAATGACAAAAATTAATTTATTAATGTCTGAATAAATGAAAGAAAGAATGAATGAATGATTTAATGAATGAATGAATGAATGAATGAATGAATGAATGAATGAATTAATGAATTAATTAATTAATTAATTAATTATTTAATTAATTAATGATCAATGAAAAGAACTTGAAGAGCGCTTACTTATCGCATAAATAAAATACTGAGAAAAAAAACTTGCATGATTGAGTAGCCTCTGATCAAAGACAATGCTGGATCACTGGGAATCGATCCTACCAAAGTACCAACACGTTCATTCTCCCTGACATCAAGGGCGTAGTCACCTGGGGCAACTTTGTTCATGGGCGTCAGTGCTATGCTAACTGTCATGGTTGCCGACAAATGTGGTAAACCTGGATACATGGCTGCAACTATCAGTGTCTGATAGCTGTCAGCTCGGACAAGAGACGAGGTAGTTGTGACCTCGCCGCTGAGAGAATCAATCCTAAACAAGTTTTCCTTGTTTCCGTCCTGGATTGTGTATCTAACTATGCCGTTTCTGCCCGAGTCTTTGCCTGAAGCGGAGACCTGACAGACGGGGGTCATGGCTGGACTGTCACGTTTGATCAACATATCTGTGGCGATTTTGTCGAAACGCGGAGCAGTGTCGATATCGTCACTACGTAGATTGTTACTGTAACATTAGTTGACAACGACGGTTTGCCACCATCTTGTCCTTTAATAATCAAAACGTGACGGCGGGAACTTTCAAAATCAAGGTTAGAACTGAGAGCCAATTCTCCACTTCTCGAATTTAGCGTAAACTTGCCGTCAAAATTGCCTGAGACTATTGAGTAAGAGACTGCTCCAAATTCTCCCGAGTCTAAATCTTCGGCTATAACTTGTAAGAAACTTCCAAGGGGCAAGGATTCGGACACATTAACAACATAAGGCGTGTTTTTGAACACTGGTGGGTTATTATTCGTGTCAATAACAAATACACAGACCAGAACTGTGGCTGTCCTGCTTTTGATCTCAGCATTATCGGTGGCTTTGGCTAGAAGATGATAACTTTTAGCTGTTGAATATTCCAGGGCTTTGATTAACGTGATTACCCCTGTCGACGAATTAACATGGAAACGATCATTAGATTCTATAGAGTATCGCAGGTTGCCATACTGCCCGGTATCCTTGTCTGTGGCGGTTATCTGACCTACAACTGTGCCAACAATGGTGCTTTCACTGACATTCAATGTGACCATGTTTTCGCCAAAAGCTGGATCATGCTTGTTTGCTTGCACAACTTTGACAATCAAATTGAAGCTATCGCTTAGTGTTGTATCCATATTATTTGCAGCTGTGATTATTAAGGTTTGTGATGTCTGAAGCGAAAAGCTCAGAGTACCAATAAGCTGTACTTTACCATTGTCAGGGTCTACATAGAATGTAGCCGTATCTCCACTTCTCAGTGAGTACACTAGATCTCCAGGGTGATTCAGTGATTTTTCGGTGGCACCGCGAAAAGTTGCGTTTGCATCATACAGCACCACTCCAGGTAGACATGTTTCTTCTATGGATATTTCATTAGTTTTGGGTGAGAACTTCGGCATTTTCAATTCTGACTGGATTAAAATGCTAACATTAGCAGTCGCATGTCCAGCTGGCATGCCATGATCTGAGGCCATAATCTGCAGTTCGTAGTGACTGTTTAAATTAGAGTTCAGCAATGATGCAGCAATTAAGGTGGTGCCACTTAATCTAAATGCGTTATTGGTATTTCCAGACGTGATGGACAAGGTTAGGTCTTTGTTGACCCCGGCGTCTGAATCTGTCACTGATAGCGTGCCTATAGCAGTTCCAGCACTGGTGCCATATGGCACCAGAAACACGTAGTTATACGGGGTAAATACGGGTTTGTTATCGTTGACGTCAGTTATAGTTATATTAACAATGGTGGTGTCTGTTTTCCCACTGCTGCCACTGACATGTATTGTAAGAGTCAAGAAAGCGGCCGTTTCCCTGTCCAGGGCAAAGATCAGGTACACTTCGCCTGTTCTCTCGTCAATAGTGAAATTATTTTTGCTGTTACCGCTTATTATTGTAAATGTCAAATCTGAGATAGTGTCATTGTTCTGCACCTGAATTTTGACAACGGGTGCACCAAGAGCTGCATCTTCTGGCACTAACAAAGAAATTTTACCTCCAGAGGACATTATTTTGAAGTTGTTGTCATCTTCATCAATTACCCCCACATTTACTATCATCGTACTATTCAGTGGTGGGAATACTTTGTTGACGGCGCACAGCAACAGTGTGTGAAATGGTTGTGTCTCGAAGTCAAGGTGTTTCACTAACTGTAGCTCTCCATTCGAAGTGTACTTGAACATGTTGTCAGGGTCGCCAGACAGAATTCTGTAAACTATTTCAGCATTTTCTAGAATGTCCCGATCAGTGGCTGTGATCTGCATCAGCGTAGTCGGAAAGGACACACTCTCTGAAACGCTGATGTGATCAAAAGAACTACTATAAATGGGGCAGTTATCATTAATATCATTAATATCAATTAATAAAGTGTCGTCTATTGTCTGTCCATTCCTTGTTGTTGCTCTTATTGATATATTATACGAGCTGATAGTTTCTCTGTCTAGCCGTCGGACGAGTCTAAATTCTCCCTTTGTCTGATGCAAGGTGAAACTTCTGTCAT